GTAGGAGTAATGAGGATATAACAGCAAATAAAAAGAATAAGAAAAACATATACAGTCCTTCCCTCAGTTTAAAATACAATGAGAGGACAGACAAGTAATATGAAAATTATACTGTGTTTTAATGTTATGGTTCATGGTGCTATGGGAGCAATAGAATGGGCACATATTATGTTAGGAATCATGGGATATTAGGGAAGGCTTCCTGAAGGAAGTGACTTCTAAGTGGAAACTTGAAGCAGTTAGCTAGGAAAAAAAAGACAGGGAAGACTGTTCTCAATAGAGAAAACAAACATTCAAAGGCCGAGAGACTAGGGAGGGCAGGCTCTTTCAAAGGAGGGAAAGTCCTTCAGAATAGCTAGGAAATAAGTGATAAAGGGTCAGGTAAACTGAGGCCAGGTCAAAAAGAGCCTTCAAGGCTACACTGAGTTGAGACTTTATCCTAAGGCAAAAGAAAATCATTAAAGCATTTCAAGCATGAAATGATATGATCAATTTCAATTTTTCTAAAATCATTTTGATTTGTGAGAACGAGTTGGAAGGAAGCAAATCCAAAAGTACAGATACCAGATTAAGGCTACCACGGAATTTTAGCTGAGTGGTGATTATGACCTGTACCATACAGAATGGATAGAAATGGATTCTAAGCTTCATTTCAAATTTTTTTAAAAAGCAGAAACATTTATACTATTTTAGAAAGTTTCAATCGGAAATCAAATTTATAGCTGTCTATACATAGGATCTTAATCTACAATGATGAAAAGGCTTCCTTTGATTAAATTACCAAAAGCTTAGAAAATTATTCAATTTTCTAAACCAAGTTTTATAATTTAAAGATATATTACTTGCAGGAAAAAAAATCGATTGTGGAGCCAGTTAAAAGGCTAAGTTCTTACCTTAAAAGATCTTCCTAGCTGTTGTTACTCAAGCTATAAAATTGTGGCATTTTCTTTAGCTGCCATCCTAGAATTTGCACACATATGAAAGCTGCTCCTTAAAGATACTGGGATGCTAGTTATTTTGATGCTGTTGCCAATACTTAAGACATTTTCAGATTTTTTCCTTTGGAAACATGTACCACCATTTATTTCAATCCAACAAGAAGATCATAACTGTAATGCAATCAGTACAAGAAGTTAATTGGTTTAGAAAAATTGAGTGCTTTGATACCTGGCCTTTTATATAAAGAGCAATGAATTCTGCTTAGAGAAGTTAGCACCAAAGATGTGACATTTGAGTTGGGCTTTTAAGAGTTGTTTGTAAGGCAGATAAGGGCATCTACAGATAAGGGAATAGCATGAATAAAGACACGGGGGTGGAAAATTCCCAGCAGGGGTGAGCAACAGTGCACTGTGGGTAGACAGACGGGGACTCAGGGAAGAGTGGCTGCAGGGAAGGCTGAAAGTAGACCGTGGCCAGTTCATCATCTCCTATACTTCATTAAGGATAATAGACTACATCAGTGAAAAGCTCAATCATGTTATTCCTGCCCCCCCCCTTTTTTTTAAAGGACATGATGGTGTAGAAGGAGGGAAGAGATACTAAAGAGTAGGAGATTCAGCAGTCTTGAGAATAAGAAAGGAGTACCACAGGAACACAGCACCAATATTCTGAGGAATGGGATGGCAGTCCATAGGGATTTTTCAGACAAACCATCAAGATTTAAAGGCCAAATGGATCTGTGTAGTATATGAATGTGTTTGCATCTGTAGGGGATAGGAATCAGGAGTGGGCATGCAGCATCAGGGATAACCTCAGAGCACATGCTTTATAAACATATTAGTTTGGCGATGTCTGAGAACTATCCAGATGGTTCCATTTAGTTGTCTAGAAATTGGGCTAAGTTTTAATTATAAATTTAAGAGTCAGCAGCAACAGAGAGAATAACCAGTCCAGAGTGAATGAAATTACTGGAGGGAGGAGCAGAATTACAATATGGCTGCAGTAAAATCAGAGGGGCAGATGCAAAGACTGGGAGAGAACAGTGTCGGAGAGGCCAATGGAGAAGTCAGTTTCAAAGCCTTCCAGTGGAGGGGGGAAAAAATGGGACACAGAAGAGGTAAGAGTGGGGAAAGCAAACTTCTGGAAAGGACCAGACAGTAAATACTTCAGGCTTTGTGAGCTAGTCTTTAGCTAGTGGTTCCTATAAAAACAGCAGCAGTTTGCCAGCCCCTGGGTAAGAAACAGATCAAGATTATAAGTATGGAGGGCTCAGCTATGCTTTACAACCTATATCTAAAATGGATCCAATTTCAATATAATAAAATTACTTTGTCTAGATTCGCAAACGTCCTGGGTTTAGGAGCAGAGGCTTCAGACAAACCGGTGGCAGGAAAATTAAGGGTGCTGGTAAATATAAGTAAATGATTGTATATGGGAAAGGATATTAAGTGAGGAGCAATCTGAACGACTGGAAGAACAGGGATAAGAAAAGCATTCTTAGTCACACCCCGTTTACGACTCCCAATAGTTTCGTTAACCTTAATCCTCCGACTAGTTTTTCCTGTTTTGGTTCCAAATGGCATCGGGATGGTCTCTTACAAATACAGAGGATTAGGGGCACCAACCTCCCCCAAAATTAAAAACCCACATATAACTACAGTTGGCCCTCCACATACATGGATTCCCAACCGCGGAGTCAATTGAAAAATCCATGTATAAGTGGACCTGCACAGTTTATACCCATGTCGTTCAAGGGTCAACTGTAATAATAGCAATTCAACCTGATTACTAGTATAGCAATAAACGCCCATTTAAACATTTGTTTAAAACCAGTTTTTTTTTCTTTAAAGTCTCATTTCTTTTACAGCAGGGCTTCTCAACCTCAAATACTACTGACATTTTGAGCTTGAAATTCTGTTATGGGAGTGGAAGATGTTAATTGTGGGATGTTCAGCAGAATCCCTGACCTCTACCCATTAGATGTCAGTAGCAACTCTCCCAACCCGTCATGGCTACCAAAAATGTCTCCAGAAATTGCCAAATATCTCCTGAAGGACAAAATCACTCCTAGCTGAGAACCACTTCTTTATATATGATTGTATGGTTTCCCTTAAAATATATCACCATTTGAAAAAAATGAGGCTAGACATCTCAGAATATTTTCTAGTAAGATTCTTAGATATATACAAATGTCATCTGAGAAAAAAAAATTTGACACATTATAAGAAACCTAACAAAGTATCTCATCTAACATGTCAAGTTAGACCAGAAATCCTTTATCTGGCCATTATAGGAGGGGGAAAAAAACACTTGTCCTGTAAAGCTTAGATCCCATCTCATCAATAAACTAGAAAGAGGATGCTTGAGACTATACACCATTAGGTGAACACACAACAGGCTCACATGATGTGAATACAAGTAGGAGAGGACCCAACAGTCTAGGTAACTGTTCCTCGTAATCCTATTCAGGGTAGATTATATAGCAACTTCATTAAGTATAGAAAGAATGACTACTGTAGGTGACTCTGAAATCACTTGTCAAAAACTGTAAAATTCAACAGGGAAAGAAACAAAACTAGATTTCATATATGTATAAAATGGAGACCGACCAGCTGTGTACAATAGCAAATGAAGATCTAAGTTTTATTAACTAGAACTTAAATGCCAGACCTGGATTAAAAGTGACTTACAAAATCAAGAATATGACAAGCAAAGATGCAGAAAATTGACTTGCAAAGGGGGATGCTGGAAAAAAAATTTTTTTTTTTTTAAATTTTAAAGTGGGAGATACTGGGAGACAAATCAAAGGTCCTTAAATATAACCAAAGGGACAGAAAAATAGGACCTGGGGAATAAGGCAATTGAGGAAGATAAATCCAAACAGATGAGGATTCACTGTGAATAAAAATACTAACCCCTATGATAAATTAAGTTGATTATCAAATGCTAAACCAGCCTGTACTCCTATAATAAACCCAGTTTGGTCATTCTTTTTATTAAAAAAAACCAAAAATACTAACCAAATGGTCTCTCTAAAAAGGAGACCATCATGCTTTAGCAATCTGAGAAAATGGAACATAAGATTGACATATACCAGAGATCATACTATGATTTAAACATTTGAAGACACTAGAGCTGACACTGTAGTGGTGATGAACAGACTGTAACAACTTCAAGTTCTTGCAACTATTACTCCTGTTGGTGATAATGAGGGGGGAAATTGCTTCTAAAAACATACTTGCCAAAGTACCAACAATCAAATTGAAGAATGACTTTATTTTTTACACTTAAAGGATGATGAAAAACTATTAGGAATCCTATTAAAGAAAATCCAACATCTCAATTGAGAAGTATGGTAACTATATTTACTCATTAAATACTAGTTAAGTTTTGTAAAATACAACTTGAAAATATCCAGCATGCATGTTTAATCTCAGTACAATGGATTCAAGACCAAGTATACATGTTACATGCATCAAGGCTAGATTACAAATTATCATAGTCATCATCGTCATCGTCATCGTCGTCATCATCATCACGTTTTCTTTTCAATGCATTTGATGATTCAGTGGCAGTATTTTGTGATGACACCATGTTAGTGGTTATAAGAATGTTTTTGGACCCAATTAATGATGGATTAATCAAAACATTCTGAACTGCTGATGTTGCAGGAATTGATGCTTTTACACCTGGGGACTGCGAAGTGGGCATCTGGACTGTAAACCTTTGCCCTGTGAGGGACATTGGAGCCCCTATTTTAGTTGAAACCGACATGGTTTGTGGGGTTGGTGTGCCAAGTGTGGGAGTACTTGGTCTGCTAGTAACTGATCCAACACTTAGTCGTGGAACTGTTATTCTTCCTGCAGAAGTAGATGACTTTTTTTGTAAAGACTTTAGTCTATAGTTTGGAGCAGTCAAGCAGTATCTATCAGGTGGCAGTCTAGGGCCTGAATATGGCTTGATCAATGGCAAAGGGGTTTGATTTCTTTGCCTTGCAATATCTAATAAAAAATCTCTTGGGGGAGGAGAGGTAAAAGACTGGTCAGCACGACACTGGATTGCCAAGCGCACATCATCTGCATCAACAGTAGCTTTCTTAGCATGGCTTGAATAAATTTTTGCATCATCTAGAATTGTGGTCACATATCGGAAGGCAAACTCCAACATCTGATTTATAACTCTTGGCTCATATTCTGTAATCCCCATATCCTTCAGGATTTGTGCCATCATCTGTGCATCTTTCGGCATGCTCTTGGGAGAAGCCATCTTGCCAGACTCCATGATATCCGGTGATCAGACTTTAGATCATTTAAAAAAAATACGTACATTAGGTCAAACCTGAAATAGTTACTATAGTAGCAACTGTCAGGAACTTAAGAAAATTTAAATACGTTACATTTTTTTAAATATATTTAAATTTTAAAAATATATGTTAAATATTTTTAATTTTAATGAGGCACACTTAAAGTTCCCTTTACTTAAATTTATTGATTTTCAACCCTGTAGAAATCATTATAGAATAAAGATAAAGACACAATTTTAGGGTTAACAAAGATAAAGACACAATAAAGAAGTGATAAAAGATTGGGGGAAAAAAGTAAAATAAGTAAAAACGTATTTTAGAATATATGCAGTTGCATGCAGACATGCAACTATCAAATTAATCTAAGAAAATAGCACAGGACAGTCATGTCCTACTTCCTGATTTCAAAATAATCTGTCCTTCCAGTAAGATCAATATAATCACTGTGTCCAAAGATATGCTCAGCACCACCCAAACCTTTATGCACTGACCCATCTCCAAACATTCTCCCTCTTCCTCATATTCAGATTCTACATATTGTAAATTCATGGAAACCTTCTCAATTATTAATGTCCACAAGAACTGCTAGTCAATTGGGGAGCAATGTAATGGTCAAAATAGTCAGGACATGGTTTTAGACACTTTATACTTAGTATTTCTATGGGTCCCCAACAGAGCATAATTCCTTAATGGCAATCTTTCTCTGCTTGTTTTACCCTCTCAAGTATAGTACTAATACTCCATTACCTATCTCTCGTATTCTTTTTAAAAACAAATTTAACATCAAAATGTCCCTTACCTTCTCGAGCTAAATCACCCACATTAATGTATTTCAGTCCTGATCTTGATGCAAGTTCTTTGCCCAGCGTGGTTTTTCCAACCCCTGGTGTACCTGTAAGACAAGCCACAGAAAAATACTATTCATAAAATACTTACTAGACTTTAGCAAGCTATGTGCCCTTCTTAAGGTTAACAACTGAAATGAAAAGTTTCCTAATTAGCAATCCCATGTGAATTAACATACACCATGACCTAATCAAAACCACCCCCGGCCTGTTGGATGTCCATATCTCACCCAGTTTATCTGATTCTATCAGGAGTGGGGCTTGGGCAATTCTGATGCCAATTCACAGACTGCTTGTCAACACTATGGGAATTCCCAGAGTAAAACTAGCCGTCTCACGGGTCTGGCTGAGTGGCGGGCTGGTTAACACGTTAAGCGCCAAGCCTGTTTTGTCTTCCTTTCCGTTTAGCCCGCGATATCCGATTTCACCAATATGCTGTCTCGTCAGTCAGTTGTCTGTGGTTCGTGTTCCAGTGCGGTTTGAAAATTTTTTCTTTACCCGTAACAGTGACAATGTCAGTAGAAGAAACATGTGAAAGCGATTCAAATGAAATTAGTTTTCCTAATAGAAGAATATAATTTTTTAAATTGTATATCATCAGTCACTGGTGACTGACGCGGTCCGAACGGAAAGTATAGTGTCAGTCACCGGTGACTGACATGGCGCTTAACGTGTTGAGTTGGCTTGGGACGCCAGCTCTAAGTAGCAGGGCCACCAGTTCAGATCCCACATGCGGGCCAGTGACACTGTGCCCTCTACAGCTAAGCTGGTGAACAACAGCTCGATGTGGAGCTGAGCTGCCATGAGTCACCAGTGACGGTGGCATAAGCTGCAGCGGGGCTGGCCAGCAGCTGGCGTGAGCTTTCGTGAGCGGCCGTCCAATGGCCAGCAAGCGACTGCCTCACCGGGGAAGAGTGCAATGATAATACCAACATGGGCCAGTGAAGTGACGTCCTCCACAACTAGACTGAAGAACAAAAGGACAGCAACTTGTCTGTTCCCCTTCCCCGATTCCCCAATGCTGTTCCCCTCCCCCAATTACCCAATAAAATCTTTTTTAAAAAAATTATCCATCTCACATAAATATCATTGTTTGCTTTAATTTTTTGACAATTAAGAAATTATTCATGGAAAAAATTTAAGCAGTATGAAAGACAAGTCTCATTTCTACCTCTGAACTCCTGTACTCTTCCTTAGAGGCAACCAGTTTCTTATATATCTTTCCAACCAAGTCCTATGCATATGTGTTTGTGTATACATTCATGTATAGGTATACATGACAGCATACAATATGTGTGTACATATAAATACATAATATGTGCACATACACATGTACATTCCCTTTTACATAAATGGCAATGCTACACATTCTTCACATCCCCTTTTTATTTCAAGTTAAATAAATGCATAATTTTCAGCTGTTCAGGTTTAATGTTACTGAAATAATAAAACTTGATCGTTACAATCCAAGATAAAAAGGATAAATCAAGTCTCCACATACAAGACAATAACATTTACCCTAAGTTCCCTATTCACTATAATGCGTCAAGTTTGAACCCTGGACTCACCATGTATTCAATAGAATGCTCATATTGATTTTTGACAATATGGTTTTATATTAAAAACCAGGACACTGACCCAAACAATTAACATGTTGTAAAAATTTCCCCTTAAGGAATCTTAAAGGCTGAACATTAATTAGTTGAGAGATTAATCTGCAACTCTCAGAAACAGAAATTGTGCGCTACCAACAAGCTTGTTTTGTTAAATGATGAAACTTGATTGCTTTGTTTCCAGAGAGCTTCTCAATTTTTCTGTGTTGCAACAGCACCTACAACCATTCGATTTTTTCCATGACTGCCCTATGATGCTATTAACTGCTACAATTTAATACATCTTCAGAGTTAAACGACCAACAATAACATTCTTTAAAGTCGTTATGCTGCATTTTAGTACTCCTCACATATAACAGGCCCAGAGTATGGATCCAAAGAAGGGCCCCCACGGGAATTTTTCAGCATCTCTACACAAGAAAAGACCCGAGATGCTCAGTAGATGCTTTTTCTTCTTAGAAGAAAAGGAAAAAAGCCTCTAAGGTTAACTCAACAAACATATCTAGCAAGTTAATCACCATGTGCCACAAACTCCTGAACCTTTTTACTGAAATCTGACTCTCAGATACAAGGGAAAAAGGAAAGACGGCCAGGTGAGTGAGGCCTAAGGACTAAAGCATCCACCATTAACTGTACTAAGGGCCAGGTACTGCCTTACAGGAGAATATCACTAAAAGGCAGACAACCCTGCCAAATAATCAACATCCATTTTACAAACAAAAACCAGATTCAGGAAGAGTAGGCAGCCTACCAAAAAGGGGAACTGGATTGGTCTACCTCTTTCCACCCCACCGAGCAGCCCCGGGCCAACAGAATGAATGTTCCCCGTCCCCTCCCCCCTGCCTACCGCAACGGTCGCCGAGGCCCCACCTCGAGGCCCTAGCACCTGCCACGCCTCGAAGCCCTCGACTAGCCTCGAAACAGACCACTGAGCGCCCCCCGACAAACACACACACCTCGGGCGCCCGAGGCCCCAGAGCACTCGGCGTCCCTGGCCTGCCCCGCCACCCAGCCCGTCCCCGCCGCGCGCCCTGACCGGTGAGCAGGATGTTCGGAAGCAACATAGTCCTCTCCGCAACCGCTCTGGGAACATCTGCACACGAGCCCTAAGCACAACAGGGAGGAGCCGGAAGGAGCGGGCCGTGGCAACCGCCAGTGGCCCCAGGGTCCTCAAGACCCTGCGCGGCGTTCGCGACCCATCTCCGCCTTCTAGTCAGCGACCATTGGTTATCTGACCTTCTATGACACAATTCCATCTCAGGGTCCGAGACAGGGGCCCAGTTCGGGTCTGCGATTCAGGTCAGGCAGTGCGCTGGATGCCCAAGTCGCTCGCTCCTTTGGCTGCCTCCGCCCTTCGGGCTCTGTCGCGGAAGCGCCGACGGGTCTGGAAGGCCCCGTGAGGCGGGGCCTCCGAGAGACTAGGGGCTGATCCTGGGTAAGACCCGGTGGCTGCGTTTCTACGTGGAGCAGAGCCTGGGCTCCTTCGCTCCTCTCCGCCCACGAGGGCATGCAGCTCCCCGAAAGTAAGGCCGTCGCGGCTGCGGCTGCAGTGTATGTATGTCCTAGTGACGCGAGTCCATCTCTGCCTCCACGCCTTCCCGGCTTCCCGAGAGCCCATCCCATTTGGGGATGAGAGGGTGGGGGTGCAGACTGCTGGCCTGGAGCCGGGGCACGCGAGCCGATCTCGGCTCTCCGCTGATTAGCAGCATTACGTTGCAGAACTGTCTGAGCTTGTTATCCCCTGTTCACTGTGCAGGGTGGTGGTGGGTCCGCTAGAAATATTCTCGAAGGGTCTCTTCTACCTCTGACGTCTCATTTCAGGACACTGGTATCGTCAAGGACGGTTATCTGCTTTTTAAAGGAGGTAATTGTCAGTCTTGTTTTGAAAGAACGACTGGACTCCTGATCGGAACAACAGTCTGTACCTTTTATTTCGACCTGCCAGCTACGTTTACTTAAATAGGTGTTTTTTTCCACCTATGTATCTCTTGAAACGACAAAGCAAAAACTTCTAATCATGAACAATTTGTATGTGTATGTGTACCGTTTGTTTCTACTATGTGGAAATATTTGCACATGTTGTGCCTCCAAGCTATTAAAAGAAAAAGTCCAATATACCTCCCAATTTCTAAGTATACAGACCTTAAAAAAACTTTACCTAACTTAAAATTGGTGAATTTATTAGTTTGTATAAACATTGAAGAATTATGAAAGTCGGAAAATATAGTGTTGCCAAAAAATTTTCTAATGTGTTCAAATAAGGAAAACAGTTATAGGAAAAACTTACAGTAACATTTAAAATCTTTGTCCAAAGTGAATAATAAATCTGAATTCATTGTATGATCGAGTTTTTTGTTGAAATTTTGGCAACAAAAACTACAACTGTTATTTGAAATAAGGGAAATTTTAATTTTCTGTATAAAAACTGCACAAGTAGAATTGTCTAGTTTTTCTTAATGACAAACAGTAGGTACACAAATATGTGGTTTTTATATTTTCTCTAGTTATTGAGTTCATATGAAATAATTTACATTCATAACCCCATGAATAGTCATTATTTGACAGTTATAGCCATTAAAATTAAAATGTATTTTAGCATTTTGACTCGTGTTTCACCTATGTTTACTCTGTTCTCTTTCACTGGCCTTGAGCCTTAACTTTATTATGCTGTTGATTATATCCTATATATTAATTACTGTCCTTCTGTTTTACAGTTTTTCTTAATTGAGAATTTTTTTTTACTCCTAGGTGAATTATACTTTAATGTACTACAGGTTGTATACTATGGATGGGAACTATTAGAGTTTATAATGTCAAAAACTTTTCTTAGACAAAAGCTATCTTCCACAAAGGTACGATACACTAAAATTGTCCTGTAATAATTGCTTAAAAATAAATTAAAATTTTTGTACTTGTCTTTAATGATTTATTACTGCTATCAAAGTAATGGTGCCCAGTATCTGTTCTAATTAGTCATCTAAAAAGTCTAATAAGTTATGAAACAAATGTGCACTAAAAGTACAACCTTCATTTTGAAAAGTCTTTTGCAATCCCAGTCACAACGAAAAGGCTGAAAACTCTTGAATGAAAGAGCAGTAGAAGAAAGGAATGTATGAGTTGTATTTGGTGTTAAAACTTAACAAAGTCCCTGCCCCTTAGAAATCACGTGGTTCCGTGTGCCAGTTCTCAGCAAGGTTAGAGGGTAGAGTAAGTACCATGAAGGTTGGACTGTATCATGCTCATATGCAAAGCAGCTATTTTCCTTGTGGTTTCTCTGATCTTAAGTAAATTATTTAACTTTGCCATTTCTCTTTTTTTTTTCATGTAGATTGTAGTCCACATTTATGTAAGCAATAAAACTATAAAATGTATAAGTAACATGTAGATCAGAATTGCTATCAAAAAGTTTATTAACACATAGTATTTTTATGTACTCTTAAAAATTGAGGAAAAGGGCCAAAATTATAGTAATAAAGACAAAGAGATGAATTGGTTAGCTGTGACCAATTTTTTCCCCAGAAGTTTTCATTTCTTTACCTATTGCTGATAATATTCCTAATCCTCTGTCCTTAAAAGAGGAGTGAATATAATCAAGTCATATTACAAATTTTTCATAGCATCAAGATTCTTAGATTATATCTTCACAAAGTCTTGAAGCTGTTAGGGATTATTTGGATGTAAATGTGATGCATTAACCTGGTCAAGGCAGAAGTGTTACTTTTCTCATTGTTGTACATGGTTAAAATATTTTATTTCTCTGTTTTGCTTCTTTTTGGGTAGGTAATTTAAATATTTATGTTTCAGCTTTACAAATGAGTTTAAAACAATCAGCCTACTCTTTATCCCGGGAAGAGTACATTCATAAAAAGAATTAAGTGTGTATCTTATATTCCTTTATATGTTATTCATTATTACCATGGTCAAGTAGAGAAGTATGCATTTGTATTTATTGTAAAGTAGAAAAATAGCATACTAATACATATAGAATCAATTCTATTTAAAGAGCTAATTTGTGAAATGTTTGTTTTAAATGTTGCAAATATATAAAAAAAAATTTTATACGCAGTAGTTTAATTACATAGGGAACAGATGCAAAAAATGTAATAGTATTTACATGATTTCTTTTTTTCAGGTAACAGACTGGGTAGACCCATCATTTGATGATTTTTCAGAGAATACAAGCATTTCTACTATTACTACCACATCATTGGGTGTGAATCACTCAAGTCATAGAAGAAAAAATGTGTCTTCCACATTAGAAAGTAGCAGATTTCCAACTAAAAAAAGAGGAAAGCTATCTTCCTCAGAACAGATTTATGGTCTAGAAAATTCAAAAGAATATCTGTCTGAAAATGAACCATGGGTGGATAAATACAAACCAGAAACTCAGGTACTAAAATAGCATGCAAACAGGTCTATGTAATTTAGTTTCAGGAAGAAGAGGGACGTACACTTTCAGATTATTACTCATAAAAAGCTTTTTATCTAAATGAATTAGAAAAAACCCAATGATTTCTAGGTCTTTTTTATGTCCCAAGGCTCAGATTTTCTCAACAGTTGTTCTGAAGTTGTGCAATTGGTTATTTGTATTTATCTTAGGTTAAATGTAACCCCAACATAGAATTGATCTGATCTGGGTTTTTGTTGTTGTTGTTGTTTGCTAAATGTAATACCTGTTTATTCCCTTCCCAAGATATATTTCAGGATTTTAAAAAATTTTATAACTCCAAACCTGCCTAAAATTTCCATACGATGGTGTCGCTTAAAAACAATTTTTTCATAACAATAGAAAAAATTAAGTGTAATCAACCTTTTTTATTACCATATTGTGTTACTTGTTTGTTAGTGTTTCGTTTAAAATGTTTAGATTAATCTGTGATGTACCAAAAATCCTTGAGTTAAAATGTTTTATTTTAAACTTGACATTTTTAGCATGAACTTGCTGTGCATAAAAAGAAAATTGAAGAAGTTGAAACCTGGTTAAAAGCTGAAGTCCTAGAAAGGCAACCCAAACAGGTAATTAAATAAAAAACGTGTTTTAAATATTTAACATCAAATGTTTTTCTAACTTATAGCTGGTTTTAAGAAGTTAATCTTTTATGATGAGAAATAAGTTCAGAAAACTATGTCATGGAAAACTCTCTGATCTTACTATTTCTGGCCTCACTAAAAGATTCTGAGACTGAATTTTCCCCTTTACTTATATCTCTTTTTCCCTCTTATGTCCTGTCATCAACATAAAGCACAGGAAGCCAGTTAGGGTACTAGTCTATTTCGCACATCAGATTACCTCACACTGAAGCAAGCTGGCAAATTACATATTAGTTTTTGTACTAAGTATAGCCTAAAATGTTTTTTGTTTTATATCCTAATTCCACAATTACCCTTGACCCCCAAGCTAGAATATTCTCTCTCTCTTTTTAAACTTTATTTTGAGATTCTTCAAACATAAAGGAAAATAGAATTTATTAATACATACTCATACCCATAATATATCTATCATTTTCCCCCTTGAGTATTTTAAAGTAAATTATAAACATGTGACATTTCAGTCAGACTTTTAGAAACTTCAGTATGCCTATGTTTTGTTTTGTTTTTTTAAAAAGAGCATTTTCCTAATAAACTGTATGAACCATTCTGTCTAACAAAATTAACTGTAATTCTCTAATGTTATCTAATGCTCAGTTCATATTTACATTTCTCCAGTTTTCCCCAAAATGTCTTTTAGAGCTGGTTGATCACAACTAGAATCTTATCAAGGACCACACATTGCATTTGATTTTTATATCTCTTAGGTCTTTTTAAATCTAGAACAGTCCCGACCTTCACCCTTTCTTTCTCTTCATGACATTGACTTATTGAAGAGACCAGGCCAGTTTACTGGTAGAAGTCTCACATTCTGAGTTTGTCAGGTGGTTTCATCCTCATGATGACTAACTTGTTCTTCTATCCTGCATTTCCTGTAACTTGGAAGTTTGAATAAAGGGCTTGCTGAGACTCAAGTTGAACATTTTTGTAAGAATACTTTATAAGTGTATATTTTATATTGCATCATATCAGAAAATATGTCTAGTTCTGCTCTTTTTAATGTTAAGTTTGATCATTAGATTAAGGCGATGATAGTCAAAATTCTTCATTGTGAAGTAATTTTTCCTTGCAACTAGCACATGATCTGTGGGGAGATATTTTCACAACATGTAAGCGTCCAGCTCCCAAGCAATCTTTCACCTAAATATTTTAGGATCTGTACTCTGTCCTTGTCTGAATTAGTTTTTGTGTTAAGATTGTGAAATGGTAATTTTTAAATTCTATTATTATTTCTGTAATTGTTAGCTGGCATTTTTCAATAAGGAAAAGTTTGCCATCACCAGCTGGGGCTATTTAGTTATCTTTAAATACCGTTCCATCTGGAAAGACAGGATAAATTTTAAATCATTCCCTTTAATTTTCAACTGAGATGAAGCAGTTTGTGTTTTAGTGGCCTCCAATGGTAACAGGTCCTCTTTTGAATCCTGGTGTTTTCTGTCTGGCAATAACCTTTTGGTTTATTGTTAAGGTAACATATACAAGACAGATTTCCAATGTCAGCGTTGGTATTCCTCTGCTGGCTCATAACAATCTCTCTTCCTTGAGTATAGATTCTTGGCCTCAGTTTTCCTGAGGCACCTCTTATATCCAGGCTTTTTCTCATTAATTTATTTGGTCAGCTTAATTAGTAGTTTATGTTTTTCAGTGTCCACTATTTTCTCACTTATCAGTACTTTTTTTTTAGTATAAACATTATCATGTCTTAAACCTACACGTGTATTATTGTTATTATTCTACCAGTTCGATAAACTTAGATGTGTGTATACATATAGGTATTGGGGAAAGTATTTTCTCTACAATTTTAAAAGCTTCTTCTCTGTAAGAATTTAGACTTTAACCAAACATATACTCTCTATTATATAAAAGTTTTAATGATGTCAGTAATTACAAGACCTTTTAATTCAAAAAAAGATTAGTAACTTCTAGTTTCTCTATGGGCAACCTAAAGTTATTATTTTTAAAATTTATTGTAAGTACTTCAAATATTTGCTGAGTTTTATCTTTCAGGGCAACTTCTTTCCTTCAAAACATAGTAAAACTCTATTACAATGTAGACAGTGGGGGAATTAACAAAAATCTTTGTTTTAGTGTTCTGATAGAAGACTACCTCCCAGTTCTCTTACTGGAAGCCAAATGTTTACTGTGTAGCTTCTACTCTGTGTGTCAACAAATAGATACTTTATTACATGAGAAAAATACATGGCTGCCTGTGCTTGATCTTCCTCTTTTTTAAAAAAGAGTATCTGCTTGGAAGTAGTCAGTTCTCATTATTTGCATTAGTTATATTCTGTAAAGTTACTGCAAACAACGAATTAGCAAATACTGAACCATTGTTCCTAAGAGAAATACAGGGTTAGGTTCCTACAAAACCTATGTTCTTATAGTCACATTTACATCGACCCATCGGTATATAACCTTGTTTTATATATATGCCTGTTTAAAGACACCTTATTTAATGTATATTATTGAATCATTAACATTAAACTCGTGGCCAGTAGTACTATAATTCATGCACTTATCCATTTTAAAAAGTGGAACTGGCTGTCTTCTGGGTCCAAGCACATAGGCCCTTACTTATACTAGTTAATAAAGGTAAACAAATGATCAGGATTACAGCCCACCACTGGATGTAGGACGTCTTCCCCTGACATTTTTTTGGCTTTAACTTTTTTATCCGATTTACTGTATGAGGGAATATTACTGGGACCTACAATCTCTCATCTGTCTTTAGAGTCTTATCTCTGATAAATATATTTCTCAATATACATTTCTCAAAGACTCTGATAGCCAAACAGGTCTTTGCATTAGAATATTATACTTGCATAATATTAAAGTATATAATCCAAAGAGAGTTCTGTATTAAGATTGGATTTTATGAGTTCCAGTAACCTCTAAAAATATTCATTTCAGACGTTACCTTTTTTATCCAGCTGTTGTGCTGTTTTTTTTTATTGGGGAATAGTGTTTTAACAGGACCCATCAACTCCTAGTCAAGCAGTTGTTTCAATCTAGTTGTGCAGGGCACAGCTCAGTGGTGCATGTGGGGATCGAACTGGCAACCTTGGTGGTAGGAGCACTGGGCTCTAACCACCTGAACTAACTGGCTGCCCCCAGTCCAGCTGTTGTTTTAATTTGGCTACTAAGTAGTCTTTGGGAGGGACATAATGCAAGGATTGAATAATTACCAGAAGCTTAAAGTTCAGGAAATAAGATTATCTTATTTTATTTAAGACTAGTTTATTCCAACTAGCATTAGTATGAAATGTAGTCTTCTTATACCAGACATTCAGTAAATATTTGTAGAAATAATTAATATTTAGAAAGAAAATTCAAATCTAGCATTCCAGTGATTTTGATTTTTAATTAATATTTATTTGGTTTTAGGGTGGATCTATTTTATTAATAACAGGGCCTCCTGGATGTGGAAAAACAACAACTATAAAAATACTGTCAAAGGAGCATGGTATTCAAGTACAAGAGTGGGTTAATCCAGTTTTACCAGACTTCCAAAAAGATGATTTCAAGGAGATATTTTATCGTGGTAAGGTTTGCTCTGAAGACAATGGAAATACTGGGAAAAGTCTGTGCGTACAGGACATTTGAAACAAACACCCCATCCATGTCCTTAAGATTCCTAAGATCATTTTTGGAATATGTTTTTGAGAGAGAGGTGTGTGTGTGTGTGTGTGTGTGTGTTGCCTCTTTTATAACTAACTGGATTGGCATCTGCCCTCTAGCAACTGCTTCACAAAGTCAGAGCAGCAGTTAAATGAAACTACATGAGTGCATTTTTCCCCAAACTTCCCCATCTTCAGAGAGAAATTTCAGGAGAAGGAAAGGGTGTCTTCAGCAGAGAATGGTATATATATATATTTTTAAAGATTTTGTTGGGGAATTGAGGGAAGTGAACAGCGCTGGGGAGTCGGGGGAAGGGGAACAGACAAGTTGCTGTCCTTTTGTTCTTCAGTCTAGTTGTGGAAGACGTCGTTTCACTGGCCCATGTTGATATTATCATTGCGCTCTTCCCGGGTGAGGCAGATCGGTCGCTGGCCTCTGGACGGCTGCTCACGGCGGCCCTTGGCATCTCACACTGGCTGCTGGCCGCTCATGCTGGCTGCCAGCCACACACAGCAGCTGCCAGCCACACACAGTAGCTTATGGCAGCCCATTGCAGTAAGGGCTGCAACCTACTGCGACTCACAGCAGCCCAACTCCAGGTTGAGCTGTTGTTCACCACCTTAGCTGTGGAGGGCAGTGTCACTGGCCCTCATGTGGGATCCAAACCAGGACCCTGCTGCTCAGAGCTGGTATCCCAAGCCAGCTCTTAACCAACGCGCCACTTGGCCGGCCCAAGAATGGGATTCTTTAAGGATTGTCTTAACTGTTTTGTTGTTTAACACATCAGTCTGTTTGCATTATTTATGTACTTTTATCCTGGCTCTGGCTAGGAAATTAGACCGTGTAAATAAAATATTTTTGTTTAAATGTAAATCAAGCTTTAAGATGTATTAAAGGAACCTGCCCCCAAACAGGAAGAGAGAGCTTGGATCAGACCTGTTAGAATCGAATCAAATCAAAGCATAAGGCAAAAACTGTCTTTGGAACTTGGAGGCTTTAAGACAAACATCCCAAAACAATATACCAATTTAAAGATGTGGTACATTATAACTTCACATATATGCTTGTACTCCAGCATGATCATTTTTAACTTTCATAGTTTTTCTTATTGCTACTGTAGGTAACTAAAGTAGGGCTAGCCAAAGCTTCTCGGCCACTTTGAAGTGAAAAGGGTTCTGTAGAAGGACAATTTTATTTTAATGTGAAATATTCCTTAAAATCCCTTCTCTGGGATCGTCTTTAATATGCTCTGTGCATCCTTAGCATGCTGCTAGTACCCTGGAATTTTTACTGCTTTCTTAACAGTAACATTACTTGTGAAAATCTAGCAAGTCTATGAAAATCTAACTGTCTTCTATATATAAGTCTTTGGAGAACTTCCCTTAATCCCAAGTTCACTAATCAGTCGTTCTGCTTTTGTTGTTAGACCTTTATTATTGAAAATTATTTGTATTCACACACTCATTTGAAGAGTCTTGACTGTGTAGGCAAAGTCATAAATATTTTTTTGACCAATGGTATGAAATGACAGCTGTGTTCTGAAGTCAGTTAACTGCACAATATATTCATGGGTACGGAAAAATTCCTGAATATCCAATTTTAAATTTGAACTGTTTTGCCTACTTAGAAAACACTCTATAGTACTGTGAGCTTTTCATATGTAAATGTATTTATTAATGTATATGTTATGTATATATGTGTAATATTGATGTGTGTATAATTTGTTGAAAATAAAAGGGTTAAATGTTTCCTTTCAGAATCAAGGGTCCATGTAGTTCCCTATCAGTCTCAGATAGCAGTTTTTAAAGAGTTTCTACTAAGAGCGACAAAATATAACAAACTACAAATGCTTGGAGATGATCTGAGAACTGATAAGAAGATAATTCTGGTTGAAGTAAGTACAGCCTTTGAAATCCTGCTGTAACTATTGAGTAAACAATTGCAAGATATATCTTGACATTAACTCTCTCTGTAGTAATAATAATGGTAAACTATAAAGCCTTTGTGATAGCAGAAACCTAAAAAACCTATTCAGTAAGCTTGAATAGAGGTCAATGAACTTTAAAAATTTAGTGGGTTAAGTGTAGAAAAGCAAAAGAAGTATTTGGAAAATGACGTCTTAGTGGAAATACTATAACTAGCAGTGGCCCTAAGAAATTTGCTGTGAAAATTGGGTTTCCCATTGATGCATATTACTGTTTAGAATGTTAGCTATTTCATATTTCACTTTATTTCTATAAAAGCTCTGGTTATAATACATTGAAAAGATAACATTTTTTTCCTGTTTTGGTAAATATAAGTCTGAAAATAAATTTACATTGGAATAAAACTGAACGAGTATCTGTCATGTGTTTCCAATAGGATTTACCTAACCAGTTTTATCGAGATTCTCATACTCTACATGAAGTTCTAAGGTGAGTTTCAGTGAACTTTTCTAAACTCTTAAGTTAATTGGTAAGTGGCTTAAATTTCACCATTGCTATATTTGATTTTAGGAAGTATGTACAGATTGGTCGATGTCCTCTAATCTTTATAATCTCTGACAGTCTCAGTGGAGATAATAATCAAAGGTTACTGTTTCCCAAAGAAATTCAACAAGAGTGTGCTATATCCAACATTAGGTAAGAATGAAATTTCTACTTATAATGTTCACGTACACATTGTATTTTTAAATTAATCATTTAACCACTATCTTTATAAAACTTTGACAGTTTCAACCCTGTGGCACCAACAATTATGATGAAATTTCTTAATCGAATAGTGACAATAGAAGCTAATAAGGTAAGATTAATTTTAATTTTACATTGTACTTGTAGAAAGCCAAACTTAAGTAGTATTATGTAGACTTACGGAGTTGGAGAAATTTCATTTTTAAAATTAAAAAATTTTAACTTTTTAAATGACACTGATAAGGCACATCATTTTAGAAAATGTAGGAAATATTGATTTAAAAAATCTAACGTTTTTCTATTAAACTTAGCTTTCTCTTTCACATCAAGGCAGATTTCCCTTTGCTTGGCTTAGTGTTCTAAATTGTCTGTTACCAAGAAACTGTTTCTTTTTTTTTTTAAAGATTTTATTGGGGAATTGGCAGATGGGAACAGCGCTGGGGGAATTGGGGGAAGGGGAACAGACAAGTTGCTGCTGTTTTGTTCTTCAGTCTAGTTGTGGAGGACGTTGCTTCACTGGCCCCAGTTGGCACCATCATTGCGCTCCTCCCAGTCGAGGCAGATCAGTCCCCGATTTCTGGACGGCCACTCACGCTGGCTGCTGGCTACACACGGTAGCCCATGGCAACCCACTGCAGCAGGGGCTGCAGCCCACGCCAGCGATGGCAACGGCGACTCGCGGCAGCCCAGCTCCAGGTCGAGCTGTTGTTCAGCATCTTAGCTGTAGAGGGCAGTGTCACTGGCCCTCAAATGTGCAATCCGAACCGGGGCCCTCTGGCGTCCCAAGCCAGCTCTTAACAACGTGCCACTTGGACGGCCCGATACCATAACTTCTTTGTTATGGAGTTCGTGCTATATCTTAAATATTTGACCTGTGGGAATTTTAGAACTGTCATTGTTGATAAGCTACATCACAGGAGCAACAACAAACACACTAGTCATGTCCTTCAAGCTTTTATAAAATCAGATGTTATGATTCTGTCTGGGGTCTCTAAGAATGATAATGATAGTATAAGAAGACCTAAAGAAGAGCTTAATCTCTGACATTCTGTAGCTTAGTTAATTATATTAAGAAATATTGTTAACATCTTAAGTGAACTAGTTGTATAGTAGTTCCCCCTTACCTGCAGAGATACATTCTAAGACCCCCCCAGTGGATGCCTGAAACTGCAGATAGTACTGAACCCTATATATTATAATGTAGTATTTTTTCCTATACGTACATGCCTATGATAAATTTTAATTTATAAATTAGGCACAATAAGAGATTAATAACAATAACTAATGATAAAATAGAACAATTATAACAATGAAATAAGGGTTGCTTGAACACAAGCATTGCGATACTGCAACAGTTGATCTGATAACCAAGATGGCTATTAAATGACTGAGAGGCAGGGAGCCTACACTCCGTGAATATGCTAGACAAAGCGATGATTCCCGTCCTGGGCAGAGTGGAGCAGACAGTTCCAGATTTCATGCTACTCAGAGTGGTGTGCAATTTAAAACTTACGAATTGTTTATTTCTAGAGTTTTCCATTTAATATTTTCAGACCACATTTGACTGTGGGTAACTGAAACTGTGGAAAGTGAAACCTCAAATAAGAGGGGGCTACTTTAATAGGAAAGAACATTGAGTATCTTAAGTGTCTTGGTTTTTTTTTTAAGTTTAAATAGAGGTTTCTCTGTTTTTATTGGAAAAAAATTATCTTTTCTGGTGTCTTTAGCTATATATAAAGTGTGGAAAGATCTGCTAATCACACATTTCAGTCACATTTACATGTTCATAGTAATTAACATTCATGGTATTTTCTTCAGCTACCAAGGATCATGATTTCAAATTACATTTCCTTTTTGGCAAGTAATCAATATCTAGAATTTTTCAAAAACAAATGCTCCTCTCAAAACAGCTTTTAAGTTAAATGTATTTACAATAAAAATGATATTAATCTGAAATAGAAACTCACAGTCATGAGCAAGAAAATTTTGTAAAAGAACTAGGAAGAAAGACTTACTATTTAGGTATTGGAACGTAATATAAAACCATAGACATTACAACCATGCAGTATTGGCATAGAAGCAGACAAATAGAAGAAATAAAATGAGAAGACAGCACAGAGATCGATCGATACGTGTAAATGGGAATTTTCTATGTAAAAGATGTGGCGTTTTACATCACTGGGGAAAGAGTAGAGTATTATAGTTAATAAGTGTTGTTGGGACAATTGGATAGCCATATGGAAAAATAATAAGGTTGCATCTTCATACTGTGCACAAAAATAATTTTCAGGTGGATTAAAGGTTTAAATGTAAAAGTCAAAATCAGAAGAGTAGTAGGAAAAAAGAGTGACTTTGGGTTGTGGGGAAGTCTCCCTAAGCAAGAAAGAAAAGCCTGAAAGCTATGGATTTACTCCAAAAAAAGGAGAAACAGCAAATGACAGGGCATGGTAAGCTAAGTTAAGAGACAACCATGAGCATGGAAGAAAACACCTACAACTTATTTAACAGATAAAGCATTACCACCTAATTATATGAAAATGTGCCTACAAAAAAAGATAAGAACAGAAGCCAATACACAAAGAAATAAGAATGGCTAGTAAACATGAGTGTCGTTCAGCTTTACTGGTAATCATAGAATTCACATCATGTTCAGATAACCATTTTTCATCAGATAACAAATTTAAAAGACTGACAAACAGGATAGCCAAAGATGGAAAATGGGCACTCAACAATACCATTGGTAGGAAAAATAAAATTGGTAATTGTTACCTATATGTGACACTTTGGAGAGAACTCTACGTCTACAGAAATATTCACACATGTTGGCAAAGATATATATATATATGTGTTCATGTGTCTGTAATGGTGAAAAGTGGAAACAACATAAATATCCCCCTTCATTGGGGGAAATATTAACTTACGACATACCCATAACATTTTTTTTTAATGAAATAGATTTAAAGGTACTAACAGCACAAAGAATGGTATTAAGTAAAAAAATCAAGTTGTAAAATACTACATATAATATGATCCCACTTATGTTTTAAAAATTAACTATGTTTGCATATACTTACAGATAATATATATACTTACAGATACTTGCACAGAAAGTGGTCTGGAAAGGTACTCACTAGAATGTTAACAGTTGTGAAAGATTAGAATTTGGGGAGACAAACAGGACAGTAACTTCTTCATAAAGACTTGAAACAGCTTTGTTTCATAAAGCTAAAATATATTGAAAGATTGTAGCACAGTATTATTTTTCTGTTTTAAGCAGTTTTTACAAGATCTAAAATGGGATCATCTGTGAATAACTGAATGAATTTAACTTAAGTCATGTCAGTAAACCATTAGGAGTTTGTAAGCAAGGAGAGAGGATAAATTTTTCTTGCCTTATACTTGAACTACCAAGGGTGTGATAATACGTACGTGTGTGTGTGTGTGTATTTTTGTTTTTTAGCTGAGCCATCCTGCCACCTCCGGCAGCTCAGCTGGGTCTGGGACTCGAACCGCTGTTGCTCAGAGCTCGCATTCTTTTTTTTTTTTTAATTGGGGAATTGGGGGAGGGGAACAGACAAGTTGCTGTCCTTTTGTTCTTCAGTCTAGTTGTGGAGGACGTTGCTTCACTGGCCCATGTTGGTATTATCATTGCGCTCTTCCCGGGCGAGGCAGATCAGTCGCCGGCTTCTGGACGGCCGCTCACTGCGGCTGCTGGCCGCTCACGCTGGCTGCCGGCCACACACGGTAGCTTATGGCAGCCCACTGCAGCAGGGGCTGCAGCCTATGCCATCACCGGCGCCTCATGGCAGCCCAGCTCCAGGTCGAGCTGTTGTTCACCATCTTAGCTGTAGAGGGCAGCGTCACTGGCCCTCATGTGGGATCCGAACCGGGGCCCTGCTGCTCAGAGCTGGCGTCCCAAGCCAGCTCTTAACCAATGCGCCACTCGGCCGGGCAACATGGAGGTTTTTTAGCATTCAAATTTGAAAGATCCTAATGTACTTCCATTAAGTTTAGAAAATGGGGGAGTTTTTTTGGGGTTTTTGTTTTAGGAAAACATTTAAAATTTTTTACTTTTCTCATTGTAGAATGGAGGAAATATTACTGTCCCTGATAAAACTTCTCTACAATTGCTCTGTCAAGGATGTACTGGTGATATCAGAAGTGCAATAAATAGCCTCCAGTTTTCTTCAAAAGGTAACTATGGAAGATACATTCTTACAGCATTATATGGGTGACAAATTTTCTATTCATGAAATGAAATCAAACTAAACATATTTTAACTTAGTTGATACAGACCTGTCTCCACTTACAAGATTTTTATTGAGTGTCATAAAATGATATATGTACACATGCATGCACACACCCCGATGAATATGTCATTGTATATATGCGTATATCTGAGACAAAACCTGATTTCATTTGTTTGTTTCGCTGCCTTCCCTTTCAAAGTTAATTTGACTTCCTGGTTGAAATTCCTGGCTCTGCCACTTAGCGGTGACTTAATCTCAAAAGTGACTTAATCTTTCTGTGCCTCTGTTTTCTCACCTTTTATATAAGAACCTGTTTCAAGAGTTATGTGAAGAATAAGTAAAGTAATTCCAGTAGAGTATTTATTCCAGTGCTTGACACACTAAGGGTTCAATAAATGGTCAGCTGTTAATTTAATAACATTGTGCCCAGGTAGGTTTACTTTTGAACTTCATAATTTATATATGATATGTTTAATAAATTAATTTCCCCTTACTAATATGTAAAAGGGGTAGATAGACATACTATATTAGAGAGATCGCCCCACTAATGGCAATGAGTTACATTTTTACTCTAACAGTCATAGTTTACTGCATACAGTCTTCATCAGAAAACTTTTACAAATGACCTATTTATGCTTAACATTGAGAAATTGACTTGAAAAAATTAAAATCCACCTTTGGAGCTCTTAAAATCCACCTGAAATATTAGTTTCTACCCATAAGTATAATATGTTCATTTAGTTTACTTCTTTGTTTTCCAAAATAATTTTAGAGAAGTAGGCAGCCTAACAACTGAAAACAGAATTCTGCTTATTCCTATAGAAACATCAAGGTAAATGGTCCTCACTTCGGGAATTATGGGTTAGGAAGGCTCAAGTGGGCCAATCTGGGATCCTAACTACCATTTATAACATTGTTGCTCTGAGCTCAGAAATTGTAAAGAGAAAAAACTAAAAATCTTTGAGTGGGTCTGGGACTACTTTAGCAATTAAATGTTTTTTTTTCATTTAATTCTCAGACCAGCCTAAATGAAATCGATACCACTATTGAAACCCAGATCCTGTGTTCTTTCTGCTACTCCAGGCTGCTTTTCTTAAATGATGCATTCTGAGTTTTAAACAGCGGGTTTACCAGTGAAATTTGAACACAGACATATTCATAAATTGGAGACTGACTGCCCAAATCAGTAGAGAGGAAGTATACAAAAGTTGTTAAGCATGGATTGCAGAACCACACTGCCTAGCTTCAAATCACTTACTAGCTTATGACCTTGAACAGGTTACTTAACCTCTTTATACCTCATTTCTTTAATCTGCATAATAATAGTTCTCTCCTAATAGAGCTATGAAGATTAAATTAGTTAATACACGTTATGCACCAAAAACAGTACCTTGCATATAACACCATGAGAAATCAAGGTAATATGACTGTATTAGAGAGTGTGTCATTTGTGTGTGTGAAAATTTGAAATCTGTGTCATGAGATACTTATTTTTGATGACAATTATTTTGTTTTAAATAGTTTAATAACCCAAAGAGGACACTGACTCAGTTCACATTTTTTTTTTTTAATTTTTATTGGGAAATTGGGGAGGGGAACAGTGCTGGAGAATTGGGGGAAGGGGAACAGACAAGTTGCTGTCCTTTGGTTCTTCAGTCTAGTTGTGGAGGAGGTTGCTTCACTGGTCCAAGTTGGCACCATCATTGCGCTCTTCCCGGGCGAGGCAGATCAGTCGCCAGCTTCTGGACGGCCGCTCACTGCAGCTGCTGG